CTCTCTATTTATCCGGGCTTGGGATATAGACAATGGATGGATAAATACTTAAAATGTGAGGTACACATATTTACTGTTTTGGGGCAATTAAACAACACACCTGCTCCCCCCCAAAATAGTTAGAATCATGCCAAGAGCTGATCTTAGGTTGTTTTGCTGATCACATTTCTTTCTAGATCAGCTGTTTCTCTTAGATACCAGGCTATAAAGCACATTCTCAGACTCCTGCACAAGAGCCTCAAAGTTTAGGTGATTATCCTGTTGTGGCATAGGTAAATCACAGCTTTACCTGCAGCTTAGAACTACAACCATACATCATTGTTGTTCTTGGAAGCATTTATTTCTGTTAAAGCAGATTTATAGTGTATAGTATTTGGCAGTTGGTTGGCAGTATGGTTATGTCCCCTTCTCTTGTGTTTTCCAGTTCTTTATTGTGGCACTGTCCTTCACTTATTTCTCCAAGACTCTAACAGAGGTTTACATGAAGAGCTATCACTCAGATTGAGAGACGTTTTGACTTTTCCAGCACTCACGTTGGACTTATAGATGGCAGTTTTGAGATGGGTACCAACCATTGTTAGAATTTTGTGAAATTAGTAAGCTCTTACTATTGTGACTCTGTTGCTAATGATTTTCTCAATGTATGAATTTTTTCTTCTGCTCTCCCTGGGTTCACCTCCTTGGAGGTAAGCAACTTGTTGTTTCTAGCTGTGGTCAGCCATTTTAGGGCCAAGCTACATTGGCCCAGACTCATTGCAGTGGGCTGTTTCCTCATGGCTGTGGGGGACTTTCTCACTGGTGTGACAGACTTCTTTATGGGGCGGTAAGTGTCTAAAAACAGCAAATTTTAAGCCCAAAAATGACAACAAACAAGCAAACAAAAACACCTCCACATGATCTTGTTTAATGGTTCTTACAGATACAAGTATAGTACAGTGATTCAGGTTTTCCAGAATCCCAGTTTGAACACTGCTGCCTGTATGGATCCCCTGCAACCGCTTGTACATGAACTTCAGACAGAATTATCTGTGGAAGATAACAAAGGTAAGATTGTAAGTTATGATGGGATCAATGGATGTTTTTAAAATATTTTCCACATCAATAATTTGAATTGCTGTTAACTTATTTGCACCTTGAGGCTGTAGTTAGAAAGACTCCTATGCAAAAAATACACTAATTGAACATTGAGTGGTGGTGGTGGGGGGGTGGAGTTATGTTTTGCATTTTATTTGCATTTGAGAAATGGCTTGACAAATAGTGGATGAATTGCCATGAATTCTGGTAGAGACATTCAGGCTCCCCTCAGAGAAACCTACAATAAATTTGAACATATTTTAATTAGTTCAGTTTTGTTTAGGACCAAATACCTGAAAAACTAATGACATTTCAACAGCTTTATCTGTACTTTGTGTTTATTGCTAATTAGGAATTGTTAGCATGCTAACATGCTAAATAGTGAACATGGTAAACATTATACCTGCTAAACATCAGCATGTCATTTGGCATTAATTAGCACAAAGCACCACTCAGCCTAAATCTATTTTTATCTGCTAGTGTGTCAAAATACTCCTAGCCTTGTTAAATCAGTAATTACTATGTCATATATCCAAGTCTATGCGGGTGCAAAATTCAACTATCAAACTGGTTGCAACTCTGAAACACAGATAGCCGAGTTTTGTCAACAGCTGTGTCTTTGAACAACTTTCGGACAAACCTCTTCCCATGGGGTGGAATTCAACAACCTGTGATCCTGACAAATTATATTAGATGCATTTGCTATGGTCAGGGGACAAGAAACCAAAACAGCAGCACATACAATCTACTTTAACATGAAACCTGATTAAAAACCTTAATAATTGACTGGTTGTCTTTCAACAGTCCCTGGAATGCATTTCAGTGTGTATATGTGTTTAATCAACAGGCTGATTTGGAAAAAGGAAAAATATATATATAAAAGAGAGAGAATAATATGTTTTATAGCATCACTGAGACAGGACACATCTAATGCCAATAGTAATAACTTAAGTGTTAACATATTTTCATGTATGTCTAGTTCCCTTGTTGCTGCAGTTTTTCAATTTTTGAGCCATAATTATTTCTTCCTGTCACAAAAACATGCCATACACCCAGAAATGCATTGTACTGATTCTGTTCATCCATTCAAAAGAGATGTATTTAGAATGAAATGCAATATGGAAGTCGTACAGCCTACAATATTTAAGCTTAAAGCCATATCCTATTAAAATGTTACTGGATCAACACCACATTGTATTTGTACATATCTGCTTTGTCTGCATAAAAGAGGTAGCTGACTTTATTTTGTCTTTCTCATTGACATATGAGTGGAAAAAAGGAAGTGCTCTGTTTTTATATTTTTGTATAAACATCCTGCAATACATTTTTAGATACAAACTTTCCACAAGAATCTATGAACAGTGCAGTCCTCACATAGCTTTATGGTGACATTGCAAAGAAATAAAATTATCTGTTTCTGGTTAATCACTATTTATCAGAGCTTTCTAACAAAATCAGTTCATGCATTCCTAGTGTGTGTGTCATTATGTAGGCTGCTTGAGAAAATCTGGTTCCAATATGTGGATCTGTGTGTTCCTAGGGAATGCTCTGCATGAGATTGGAGAGATCCCAGTCATCTCCTACATTGATGACTTTGCCAAAGCTGAAAACTTACCTTTTTATATACAGTAGGTAAGATATTGACTGTTTTCCAGTGAGATTTTGATAGGGTCCACATACCACACTGTTCTAATAATAATAATAATAATAATAATCTGGCAGCTGGGGTACCAGAAAATGACCATAAAATTAGAAAAAATAACCACTCTCAAACATTACAGTAATTTCAATTAGTTTTTTCCTTTTAATTTTAAAGAGTCCATGGCATGCTCACTTCCAGCCATCTCAGGTACCACTAAATTAGCTTTGCACCAACCATAACTCCAAACTCTGGACTTCCTGACTGAAAGACCACAGGTAGTTAGAATGGGAGGGCGGGTGTCTGCTGAGCTCACAATCAGCACAGGCTCACCGCAGGGTTGCTGGCTCAACCCCAAACTCTTCACCCTGTACACCCACGACTGTGCCTCCAACCACGACAACACCATCATCATTAAATATGCTGATGACACCACCATTCTGGGCCTCATCAAAGGGGGAGATGAGTCGGGTTACAGAAACTGGTGAACGACATTCTTGTTTATGGAGAGGAGAATGACCTCATCCTCAAAATTAAACAAGACAAATAAAAAAACAGACTTCAGGAAGAACCCCTCCCCTCTGCTGCCTCTGACCATCGAGGGGACTGAGGTGGAGAGGAATGATAGCCACAGGTTCCTGAGCCTGCAGGTGACATCTGACCTGAGCTGGTCACTGAACACAGCTGCCACAGTGAAGAAAGGCCAGCAGCCGCTATTCAAAGGGTCATAAAGACTGCAGAGGGGATAAGTGGGACTGAACTGCCTGCTATGGACACACTGTACACACAGCGCTGTCGTAAAAAGGCAGAGAACACAATCAGAGACCCACGCCACCCAGCTCACTCTCTGCTCAGACACAAAAACTGCATCTACAGCCTCAGGCACAGCAGGGTGGACAGTATCATCACACACAGAACTAGACTTTATAACAGCTTTCTCCCTGCCCCAGTAAGACTGATGGCAAATACAAAAATGTGAGAATATATGTGCAATGACCCCTCACTAGACATGCACAATAATAATACAGAAATGTTCCACAAGGTATTTTTGTAAGAGCGTCTCATCAACAGTGTTCTCTTGTGGGACCTGAGTAATAGCAGGACGTTCTCCACCAAGCAATGGAAACAAGCCTGAATATAAACTGTGTTTTAGTATGTTATAACCCCTCACTACCTCACCAAGTGTATTGACATATCCAACTCCACCATGTGAATTACTAAGTGCGATGTTTGAAGTTCACAGTGTTCTTTCTGGCTTTTGACTCCTTACCTGACTCCAAAGGAGAGCTGCACAAGAATTCCTATATGCTTAGACTGTCTGTTTATGCATAAATGGCAAATAAAAATCTTGACTTGACCTGAAATAATCTGTAATTATTTCAGAATGATAAAACCAGAGAGCCTCTTCCTAAAAATGCAAGGATAGTTAGTGAACGCACACACATCCTGCTGCTGGTGTTGCATCAAAAGTGGACAGCATGATGAACTGCAACGGCATTAATCAAGCAAAAGCTGCACATATGTGGCCAGGAGACTTTTCCTTTTATACATTGCTATCACATATTCAGATAATAAGAGAGCTCCAGACCATGTACAAGATTAATTGGTAAAAAATTTGATGAAAATTAGGTGAATGGAGGCTCATATCAATGATTTAAAAAATGTAACAGTAATAATGTCACAGCAGTTTTGGCTACTGACGTTTTTAAAATGATTTGATATAGCCAAATTTTATATTTATTTATTACTTTTATATGATTGTATTGTTTTTAATGATCAAAAAATTCATTTTGTTTGTTTGTTTATTGTAAATTACTTATATTGCAATGAATTTTCAACTTTTACTACTGCTAGTGCTACTACTACTACTACTACTAACAATAATAATTTTGTTTTTGTAATTTTAATAATAGTTATCAAATATGTATGATAATAATGATTTCAATTGACTTTAATTGCATTATTTCTGTCTCAGACACAGTCTCCTCTACCCACACAACCAAAGGGTAGCATTCAGTGAATACTGTGAGGTAGTTATGTTATAACAACCTGTAAGATAAGATATAAAGTATTTGTTGCATATAACTACCTGCTCAGTGTGTACTTGTATACCCGCATTTAGACGAAGGGGTTCAGGTTAAATGGTATTGTATATGAATATAATACAATACAATATAATGTACAGAGGTAGTTTATTTGTAGGTATAAAAACAAAGGCAGCTAACTTGGAATTAATATTTGTGTGCGCGCGTTCTGCGATGCGTGCGCTTGAAAAGCTGTTCCTGCTGCTTGCCGTAGTTAATTGTAAATACGGAAGGTTATGTTGCTTCAGTGCTGTTGTTGTCGTGCTAAGGATTTTTTTTGTCTTCTGGCTATTACAAAAATTTTGATACTCTTACTAGCTATTTGTTGGGTCTTAAATATTTATCTTCGTCTACGTACTAAAGGAAAGGGAAGGGTCGGAGAAGTATTTGAAATATTAAACCACATTCTGGTGTCGGGAAATGCAAGGGAGCTAATATTAGCTACATACTATTAGTTTAAGGAATGGCACATAAAAAAGAGAAAACATTTCAGTTTGTGATCGTGGGAGGTGGCATTGCGGGTGTGACATGTGTTGAGCAGGTGAACACGTATCTACATATTCTGTCTAATTTATTTAACGCTACAGAAGCAGTTAATGCATTTTATAGTTACAGTAACTCAACATAAACCTTCATCTTCATTGACAGCTGTTATCCCAGATTCCGTCAGCTGACGTGGCTCTAATTACAGCAAGTCCCCACATCAAGGCAGTAACCAACTATAAACAGGTCAGGAGGATGATGACTATCGGGGTGGTGTTGGATCAGTGGAAACACCAACACTGTCAGGGTTATGCATTGTTTTCCACTTGTTGTCCCACGCCATAAACGCATTACAACATCAGAAATTCTACTGAGATACAGGAACTGGTTTTGCTTTTAAATGACATATTCTTGTTTGTGTTAACTTAACAATTACTAAACTATCTTATTTGCACTAAGTGAGTAGCCGGAACTGAACCATTTATCGTTTTCATTTGTCCTTCTTGTGAAGGTGTCGAAGACATTGGAAAAGTTTGATGTAGAGGAACGACCATCCAGTGTCTTGGAGGAGAAATTTCCCAGCCTGACTGTCATCCACTCTGCTGTCAAATCACTTCACACACAAGCACATGTAAGTAGCTGTTTTTCAGCATGTGTGTAAAGACAGTGATTTGGTATTTTATGTTATGCCAAATGTCAAGATGCGACTCGTCAGTGTGACGATTCGCTGTGGCGACACCTAAACGGGAAAAGCCGAAAGTGACTTTCTATGTTAATGCTATGTATAAACTGTAACGCAACATTTCTGGTTTGGTAATATGAAGAAGTTCTTATGACTAAAATCTGTGTGTAATAACAATTGCAGGTAACTGCAGCATAAGCCATGTAATTCTTCATAAAATGTTTAACTGCAACAAAGTGCACTTAATGTATTCCCTGCAACACAACACAGTAAAGGCTTTTGTATTGACTATTATCTGTCTACTGTCGCCACCTTGTGGACATATGGTTACACCGTGGGATCTGAAACCCTGTACAAACAGTTGTTTGTCCAAAATGGCATCCTGAATATGTAAAAAAAAAAAAAAAAAAAAAAAAAATCACCTTTTCAAGGTCAAAGCAAGAAACTTTAAAGCTTGATGTGAAAATGACTTGGTATTTCCCTTGATTTCCATTTTCTATTCTTAGTCTGTAGAAACAGCAGATGGCTTGGTTTTTGGTTATGAGAAGCTATGTATCTGCAGTGGAAGCAGACCCAAACTTCTAATCTATGACAACCCTTATGTGCTGGGGATACGGGACACAGACAGTGCCCAGGTACAAACCACACACTTCGGTAGCAAAACACCATTTTCCCAAAGAATGAACATCCTCAGTTATATTATGTTGTTGTTCTGTGTCCAGTGCATTTTTTTTTATTTTGGGCAAACAGGGGCTCCTGTTTTCAGTGCCTGTTTAGATGCTTTCACCCTTGAATATGTAATTTCCAGCTGCTGTATATACACACTCATAGCATAAAAACAGTGTGCCAAACCATTGCACTGTGTAAAAAAAGGTGTGCCTAGATTTTTCAGCTTCTACAATATGTTGTTGTATTTGAGTAAAAAAAAAAAAAGCAGAGGTATCTGCATGAAATATAATGCAATTGAACACCTCGCCTATCACCTAAGATCTCAGTAATAAACAAAATTGAATTTAAACAGAATAATTTAAGTCTCATTAAGGCTAGAATTCATGGCAGAGCTGTCATATTGAAATGGATTAAATTGTACAGGCGTACCTAATAAAGTGACCACTGAGTTTATGTCCAAGTGTAGTGATAAAATATGGAAAATGTTCAAAAAGGCCAAACCTTGACTAATTAGAAAATTCCTGAATCACTAAAATCCATCTTTAAACCAATCTCCATTTAAATCCGGCGCCGGCAGTGATGGCGGCCGTGGTTACTCATACTCTCTTGTGTTTGTCGTTTTTGCTTGTTATCTTGATTTTTTGAAACCCATCCCGGATTACTTTTACCAGAGAAGAACTGTTAAATATTGGACAACTCACACCAAACTACCTTCCTCTGATTTTTGTAAATGAAGAATGCTGTATGGACATTCTGATCGGAGGCACAGTGGCAATATACGGGACCTGGAAAAAATGCCGCTGTGGAAAGCAGGCGGGCGCCTTGGTGAGACTACAACAGAGGGGAACACAGACTCCACTCCCGTCTATCCACCTGGCAAATCTCCACCACCTGGTCAACAAGATGGATGGAATTCTTCTCGTCAACAGGACTAACTCTGACTTTGCACGCTCTGCTGCTTTGTGTTTCATGGAGACCTGGCTCAGCGACTCGATCGCGGACAGCGCAGTACAAGTACCGGGCTTCTAGGTGTTCAGAGCTGATCGGGAAAATGAGAGGAGGTGGAATCTGCTTCTACATAAATGGAGGTTGGTGCACAGGTGTCACAGTGCTACAGAGGACATGTAACGCAGACCTAGAGACTCTTGTTATCAATTACAAACCTTTCTATTCTCGTGAATTTAACAGTTTCATTCTAATGGGAGAAAACCACAGGCCCATGCTAGCACACTACAGCTCCTGGCAGAACCGATAACTAGCCTGGAGCTAGAACATCCTGACTCTCCACTCATTGTTCTAGGACACTTTAACAGAGCAAATCTCTCCCACGAACTGCCCAAATACAGACAGCACATCACCTGTCCCACCAGGGACAAAATCATATTGGACCACTGCTACACCACAATAAAAGACACCTATCGCTCTGTCCCCCGCGCAGCCCTCAGACTCTTACTTCACTGTATGGTTCATCTTATTCCAACCTACAGGCAGAAACTTAAAGCTGCGAAGCCTGTGGTCAAAACAGTGAAGAGCTGGACTGAGGAGGCTAAGTCAGAGCTACAGGCCTGCTTTGACTGCACAGACTGGAGTGTATTTGAGACTGCAGCTTCAGACCTGGATGAACTCACTGACACTGTGATATCTTATATCAGTTTCTGTGAAGATGTGTGTGTGCTCAAAAAAACCTTCTGCACATACAACAACAACAAGCCCTGGTTTATAGCAAGACTCAAGCAGCTTCGTCATGCCAAAGAGGAGGCTTACAGAAGTGGGGACA